CAGATTCCATAGCCACATCAAAGTAGTGAGGAAAATCTAGATGATAGCATATTAGAATATTCAGTGGTTTCCCCAGAGGAGGGTAATACCCTTGGGTAGTTTATGAAATAAAATGAAACTCTTAAGGCCAACAATATCTTCTATAATTAACTTCATTTATATAAAATTTTATAACTCTCAAAGTGATTTTCTATCTTTTTATCTGCAAGAGGTGACACAAAGAATGATTATGTACGCACACATATAATATAGCTGGACACCACTGGCTCATGCCTGTAATCCTATCTACTTAAGAGGCTGAGATCTGAGGATCATGGTTTGCCAAACAGATAAAACAGAGACTCTTACCTTCAATTAACCAGCAAAACGCTGGAAATATAGCTGTGCTTCAGAGCAACAGAAAAGGCCAAAAGCAGAAAAGGCCAAGTAAGTATGTGAGGCTCTGAGTTCAAGCACCAACACACACACAATAAACAAATAAGACAGTGTAAGAGTAACAAGAAAACTGGATTTAGAGTTACCAATCCTGCATTCTAGCTTTTAACCTCAGGAAAAACTATTATGCTCTATCATCAGCTTCTTCACCTGGAAAGATGATGATAAATTCAGGTTGTACTCAGTTTAAGAAAAAATGTAGGGCTGGGAAGGTGGCTCAGTGGTAGAGCACTTGCCTTGCATGCCTGAGGCCCTGGGTTCAATTCCTCAGCACCACATAAGCAAAAAGAAAAAAGCTAGAAGTGGCACTGTGGCTCAAGTGATAGAGCGCTAGCCTTGAGCTGAAGAGCTGAGGGACAGTGCCCAGGTCCAGAGTTCAGGCCCCACAACCGGACCCCCCCCCCCAAAAAAGAAAAAGAAAAAATGTAGCCGGGCGCCGGTGGCTCATGCTTGTAATCCTAGCTGTTCAAGAGGCTGAGATATGAGGATCGCAGTTCAAAGCCAGCCAGGGCAGGAAAGTCTGTGAAACTCTTTATCTCCAATAAGCCACCAGAAAGCTGTAAGTGGCGCTGTAGCTCAAGTGGTAGAGCACTCACCTTGAGCTGAAGGACAACGCTCAGGCCAAGAGTTCTAGCCCCACGGCCAACAAAAAGAAAAAAAAGAAAAAAATGTAGCCGGGCGCCAGTGGCTCATGCCTGTAATCCTAGCTACTCAGGAGGCTAAGATCTGAGGATTGCGGTTCAAAGCCAGCCCAGCCCGGGCAGGAAAGTCCGTGAGACTCTGATATCCAATAAACCACTCAGAAAACGAAGTGGCGTTGTGGCTCAAGCAGTAGAGCACTGGCCTTGAGGTGAGGAGCACAGGGACGGCGCCCAAGCCCAGAGTTCTAGCCCCACAACCAACCAAAAAAGAAAAAAGAAAAAAATGTATTATATTCCATTTTAAAGTGCTAAACAAAGCAGACCTAAGTACTAATTTGACCAGCTTTAGAAAATTAAATAGCACACATTCAAGGTCTTCTTTAAGTTGGCAATACTGGACTGGGGTTTGAACTCAGGGCCTTCTGTTTGCTAGGTAAATGCTTTGCCACTTGAACCTTGTCATAAGACCCAGAAAAACAATGGGGTTCTTTCATTACATCCTAAGGTAGAGAAATAAGCTGCTTTTATTAAGGCAATCACTGCTATAAGTCAAGAGAAATCTTAAATAGAATCCCTATGTTGATTCCTCTACAAAAGAGCCCCTCTGGCCGGGTGCTGGTGGCTCACTACTCCGGAGGCTGAGATCTGCAGTTCAAAGCCAGCCCAGGCAGGAAAATCCGTGAAACCACCAGAAAACCGGAAATGGCACTATAGCTCAAGTGGTAGAGCACTAGCCTTGAGCTGAAGAGCTGAGGGGCAGCACTCAGGCTCAGAGTTCAAGTCCCACAACCGACAAAATTTTTTTAAAAAGGGGCACCTCTAGAAAAGAGCATGCACTATTTTCCATAATGAGGTTTTAAGTTGGACATATTAAGTATTTGGATGAATTTTACCTTTCTATTGTTCAGGAGAATAAAACTATTCAGATCATTAAGTGCCAGGGGCTCCTGATGCAGGAGGCTAAGATCCAATTAACCACCAAAAAGCCAGAAGAGGGCATGTGGCTCAAGTGGTGGAGTACCAGCCTTGAGTTAAAAGGCTAAGGAACCAAGGCCCAGTACTGGCATAAAAACAAACAAACAAAAAAAAATTCAGGGGGCTGGGAAGGTGACTTAGTGGTAGAGCGCTTGCCTTGCATGCATGAGGCCTTGGGTTCGATTCCTCAGCACCACATAAGCAGAAAAAAAAGCCGGAAGTGGCACTGTGGCTCAAGTGGTTGAATGCTAGCCTCGAGCAGAAGAGCTGAGGGACAGCACCCAGGCCCAGAGTTCAGGCCCACGACCAGACCCCCCTCCCCCCCAAAAAAAATTCAGATCAACAGTGGAGAAGGGAGAGGAAGGAGACAGTATGTTTCTAAAAGATGAATATTGAAAGGAAACTCTGAATCCAAATTAAAGATTACATTTCTCAAGGATTCAACCACGCTATTTCTACTGGAAGAAAATAGATAATCTAAATTTTAGGCAAAGAAAGTAAACCTAATAATTACAGAAATGTGGTTATGCAACTTGGGTAATCTTTCTTGAATTCTTAAAACCAGCCATACAGCCCAAAAATAAACTATAAATAAATATCAATAAGTAACTAGAAAAGATTCTTTGCCCTTAACCTTTAACCTTCGAGTCCTTGTCAGTGTTTTGGGCATAGTCAGCCCTTCTACTAGGTTACACATTCACAAGTGAACTATTACTACGGGTGAGTCTCAAGTTCAAGGTGGTTTTTGTTGTTCACTCAATGCAAGCCTGATTGGATGAATGTGCAATGCAACCTGAGCTGGCACGAGCTAGCAATTTTTTTGTTAAAAGCACCAAAGCCTATTTATCACAGTTCCAGCAAGTTAAAAAGGGGGGGGGGGGGGAGAAGAGGAAGAAGGAAGAGGAAAGGAGAGGAAGGGAAGGGGAAAGGGGGAAGGAAGGAAGGAAGGAAGGAAGGAGAGGAGAGGGGAAGGGAGGGGAGGAGAGGGGAGGGGAGAGGCGAGGGGAGGGGAAGGGGGAAGGGAAGGGAAGGGAAGGGAAGGGAAGGGAAGGGAAGGGAAGGGAAGGGAAGGGAAGGGAAGGCGCAACCGCCCAACGACGCCCTTTCAGCGCTGTCTGAGGACGCCCACAAGGTTCTGGACCAAGCAATCAAGGCCACCTCACCTGTCCAAAGGTAACCAATCAGACCAGAGCGGGCTGCCCTGTGGGGCTGGGAAGCCAGGCCAAGCCCCAGTCTCTTCTCACCTTCTGCCTCTGCCGTTGGCGTCCAAGTAACTAAAGAATCTCGCGTGTCACAGAGGAGTGTGACATCACTCGGCCCGCCGTGACAGGGCAGTCTGCGGGACCAGGCCCTAGCTCAAGTCCAGACCCAGCCGCTCAGCGAAGAGTGCTGGCGCAGAGAAACCCTAGCAGGGCAGGGACCAGCTAGGTGTGGCCTGATATCCTCCCCCCCCCCCCCCCCGGCCCCCACCACAATCCCCCTGGCTTCCGCTTTCCTTCACCTCGGAAGGAAGGGGCGGGGGACGTGCCCAGAATTCAAGTGGTCGAGACTGAGCCAACTGGGCCTAGTGTCTGCACTTCGAGGGGCATGGGGGGACGGGGGGAGGCGGAGGAGAGCAAAAGGGAAAGAAGCAAGCAAGAGAGAAGGACTTCGCTAGCGCTCCGGGGCAGAATTCGGGTAACGACGTCCCCCCTAAAACCCCGCATACTACTCCCGCCCCCCCCGCCTCGGACTGTGCTTCTGCCTGGTAGAGTGCGCATGCGCAACACTAGTTCCCCCCAGCTTCCCTCCCCGCCCAGCTTTCTCCAGTCTCAACGACGAGCGCGGCCAGGTTCCCTCCAAGGGTTAAAGAACCGACAACGGAAGCTACCCCACTCTTATTCTTGCTCCCTGTTCACCTCTCAGTCTTGGTTTGCTTATTTCTAGCTCCAAACGTACCTTCTTAACACTCCTCAGGAGCCTACCCAGCTCTCCCACCACCGGATGTGCTCTGACTATCCCGGGGTTGGCTCTAGATCTTTACCCAGTGCCCCATCCCACGCCTTCTAAAGACCAGTTTTCATTGGTCGTTGGGTTGCACGCTCATAAACAGCAGCAGCTTACTTCAGCGTCATTAGCTAATGACCTTGTCGATCAAGATTCTGCCCACCAACCGGCGTCGTAGGAATAGGTTTCCGCCTTCTCTCGGTCCCCCTCCCCCCCCCCCCCCCCCACACACACACACTTGGTAAGAAATGATAGCTATCCTTAGCGTCCTCTAGTGGAGAAAACGAAGAGAAGCAGGCTCCGCCCAAGAGACACCTGGCAAGTCGCGGAGATCCTCACCGAACCCAAGAGGATAGCGCTGCAAAGTCGGGGAATTCTGGTATTAGGCTTCTGATGGAAATATTAAACGGGACAAATAATAATGAGAACACATAAGAAACCTCCCTCCGAAGATCCTTGAATCTCGTGGAGCTTAAGCTTAGGAGTGCCTTCAGCTATTTTTACAAGAATGCAAAGAGAAATTACAAGTCCTAGCTCTTGTGGAGAACACTCTAAGGCCAAATGCTGATCCTGGGGCCACAGGCTGGACGAAAAGCACTCTGCAAAGACCACCTCTTCATCCACCTGGTTGAGGGATTTTTTTGTGTGTGTGTATGTGGGACTGGAGCTTGAACTCAGGGTCTGGGCACAATCGATAAGCTGCTTTTGCTCAAGGCTAGCGCTCTACCGCTTGAGCCACAGCACCACTTCACGCTTTTTTAAAAAAAAATAAAAGAAAGTGGTGCTGTAGTTCAAGCGGTAGAGCGCTGGCCTTGAGCTGAAGAGCGCAGAGACAGCGCCCGAGCCCAGAGATCAAGCCCCACGACAGACAAAAATAAATAATATAATTTTATTTTTACTATTAATGTGTTGTACAAAGAGGCTACCATTTCATAAATCAGGTAATGAGTACATTTCTTTTTTTTTAGACAATGTCACCCTTTCCTTTACTTTCCCCTAGTCTTCTCCCTCCCCCCATCCCTGCCCACAAATTACATAGGTCATTTTCCACATAGTGTATACTATACAGCATGGTTGCATTTGTTCACTCTTCCTCTCTCCCTTTCTGCAACCTACTTCCAACTTTTTGTTGGTTATTAGAGATAACAGTCTTACAGCTTTTCCTGCCTGGGCTGGCTTTAAACTGCCATTCTCAAATATCAGCCTCCTGAGTAGCTAGGATTACAGGTGTGAGCCACAACTTCAGAAATGGCGACTTCTTTCAAGAAAGGGAATTCTAGGGGCTGGGAAGGTGGCTCAGTGGTAGAGTGCTTGCCTTGAAATGCATGAGGCCCTGGGTTCGATTCCTCAGCACCACATAAGCAAAAAGAAAAAGAAAAAAAAGCCGGAAGTGGCGTTGTGGCTCAAGTGGTAGAGCGCTAGCCTTGAGCTGAAGAGCTGAGGGACAGTGCCCAGGCCCAGAGTTCAGGGCCCACAACTGGACCAAAAAAAAAAAAAAAAAGGGGGCAGGGAAGTTGGCTCAGTGGTAGAGTGCTTGCCTTGCTTGCCTGAGGCCCTGGGTTCGATTGCTCAGCAGCACATAAGCAAAAAGAAAAAAGCCGAAAGTGGCACTGTGGCTCAAGTGGTAGAGCACTAGTCTTGAGCTGAAGAGCTGAGGGACAGGGTTCAGGCCCAGAGTTCAGGCCCCACGACTGGACCCAAAAAAGAAAGAAAGAAAGAAAGGCTACTCTGAATCAGATCAGTGAAAAACAGGGGAGAATGCTACTTGTCTGACATCTTGCAAATAAACCGAACACTGAGTGCTAAAAAAAAAAAAAAAAGAAAGAAAGGGAATTCTCCTTCCTTTAAGCGTAGAATGAATTTAGTAACTTTTTTTTTCTAATGACTAGAGTAAATGGGAGTGATGGTGTATGATTTTAGAATCTGGATTATAAGAGGAACTACAGCTTCCTCTATGTTCTCTCTTGGATCACTCATGGCCAGTTGCCATGTCAGGAGGACACTCTAGCCATCCCTGCACAAAGGACCACGTGGTAAGACCCATGTTGTTGTTGGCCAACAACATGTAATAACAATAACAGACAAGGAACTGAGGCATCCAGCCAATAGCCATGTGAATGAGGCTTTGTGTGTGTGTATGTAGGGGTGAGGGTGTTGGTTCTCCACTTCTAGCTTTATGCTGGTTAATTGGAGATGAGTCTGGAGGATTTGTTTGTCCAGGCTGTGATCTCTGGATCTCAGCTTTTTGAGAATCTAGGATTACAGACATGAGCCATCAGCACCTGGCTAATGAGGTATCTTTTTTTTTTTTTTTTTTTTTGTGGGGTGGGGGAGTGGTATTGGGCCATGAATTTAGAGCCTTGTGTTCTTGCTTCACTTTTTCATTCAAGACTGGCCCTTCACCACTTGAACCATATCTCTATGTCTGGCTTTTTACTGATTAATTCAAGATAAGAATCTTATGACTTTCCACCCTGGCCTGGCTTGGGACCATGATCCTCAGATCTCAGCTGCCTGAGTAGCTAAGATTACAGATGGTGAGCCTGGTGCTGGGCATGAATGAGGCATCCTAAAGGCAGTCATTGCTTCAGATGAATGGACCCCAATAAAACCTCTGTTACAGGCAGAGGCCTTGAGACTGAAGCTAGAGCTAGGCTTCTCCCAGTTCCCAGCTCTCAGAAACTATGTAAGAGAAGAAATATTTGTTTCATGTTCTCCAAGTTGTGGAATAATTTGTTAGGTGGCACTAGACTAAACTATTTTTACTCAAATTTCTTTCCTAATTTCAGCTGGTAATGTGACAAGCTAAGCTGTCGAGTTTCACAGTTTGAGCACATTGCAGGTGTCAGCCATTGGTGCAAAGATAAGTAAAAGACATGGAATAACTAGGTGTGTGCCCCTGATTGGTGTTCTGAAACAATCACTCAAGCTCCCATTGTGGCAAATGGGAACAAGAAAAATAAGTCAAGCTATTGGGATGGATAATGGACTTGGACTTCTGTAGTACTTGATAAAGATGGAGCAAGTGAATGGATGCTATGTATGGGGAAGGGTGAGAAGGAAAAAACCAACCTGGCTTCAGTCTAAATCATGTTTTTCCAGGCACCAGTGCTTCTTATTACTAAGTCCAATGGCCTTTTTTTTTTTTCATGCCAGTCCTGGGGTTTGAACTCAGGGACTGGATGTGGTCTCTGAGCTTTTTTGCTACCGCTTGAGCCACAGCTCCACTTCCAGTTTTTATTTGCTAGTTAATTAGAGATGATAATTTCACAGACTTTCCTGCTTGGAATGACTTCAAACCTCAACCCTCAGATCTCAGCTTTCTGATAGCTAGGATTCCAGGCATGAAACACCAGTGCCTGGCTCCAGTGGCCTTTTTTTTTTTACCCTTTCCTTGAAACTATTTTGCCAGTCCAGATGCTTGAACTCAGGGCCTGGGCACTGTCCCTGAGCTGCTTTTGCTCAAGGCCAGTGCTCTACCACTTGTGCCACAGCTCCACTTCCAGCTTTTTTGTTTATGTGGTACTGGAGAATCAAACCCAGGGCTTCATGCATGCTAGGCAAGCGCTGTATCACTAAGCCACCTTTCCAGCCTCTTGAAACTATTTCTTTTTTTTGGATCCAGTTGTGGGGCCTGAACTCTGGGCCTGGGCGCTGTCCCTCAGCTCTTCAGCTCAAGGCTAGCGCTCTACCACTTGAGCCACAGCGCCACTTCTGGCTTTTTTCTTTTTGCTTATGTGGTGCTGAGGAATCAAACCCAGGGCCTCAGGCATGCAAGGCAAGCGCTCTACCACTGAGCCACCTTCCCAGCCCTTGAAACTATTTCTTTTGTTAGCTTCCCCAGCCTAGTACTACCTGGTTCTCCTTCAGCCTTTGTCTTGATTGCTTAATAGCTACCAAGAGTCATACATTCTCCCTTTCACCCAGGGTTAAAGCCGGAGTTGTAGCTGGCATTAATGACTCATGTCTGTAAGTCTAGCTGGCTTGGGCAGAAAAATCCAAGCGACTCCAAAATAACCAGCAAAATCTTAGATGGGAGGTGTAGCTCGAGTGTTTGTGCCAGCTCGAGTGCCGGCTATGAGCAAGAAAACCAAGTAAGCTCATGAGACCAGAGTTCAAGCCCCAGTACCACATACACACACACACACACACACAAAAACACACACACACACACACACACACGAAAGGAAAAACAAGTTGCTCTCACTCTCTTGTCTTGCTTTTCTTTCTTAAAGAAATTATGTATCACATCCCTGTTAAGCACCAGATTCTAATTTAAACATTTAACATGCATTTGTACACATACACATGATCATGGTAGACCAGGTGTTTAGCATGTGTGAGGCCCTGTATTTAATCCTCCTCTACATTGGAGAAAAAGAGCTTAGTATTCAATTGTGACTAATACTAATGGATCCATTTGCTCTGTTATAGATTGTGCTTTGAAACCATAGCTAAAACATTTTCTTTAATCTAGGTCACAGCAAAGGACACATTAGCTTGAAGGGTTATCTAAGAGCTAGAATCAGGGTTGGGAATTTAACTTAGTGGTAGAGTGCTTGCCTAGCATGCACGAAGCCCTGGGTTCTATTCCCCAGTACCACATAAACAGAAAAATCTGGAAGTGGCACTGGAGGCTCAAGTGGTACAGTGCTAGCCCTGAGCATAGAGAGGCTCAGAGACAGAGCCCAGGCTTTGAGTTCAAGCCCCAGGACTGGCACATACAAAAAAAAAAAAGAACCAAGCACTAAGGGCTAGAATCACCCACTAAACCAGCCATGGGTGTGGTGGACACAAGGTAAAAGAACTAGGTAGGTCTGGGAAGGTGGCTTAGTGGTAGACTGCGTGCTTAGCATGCATGAAGCCTTGAGTTAGATTCCTCAGTGCCACATATACAGAAAAAGCCGAAAGTGGTGCTATGGCTCAAGTAGTAGAGTGCTAGCCTTGAACAAGAGAAGCTCAGGGACAGTGCCCAGGCCCTGAGTGCGAGCCCCAGGACTGGCAAAAACAAAAAAGAAAGAAAGAAAGAAAGAAAAGGAAAGAAAGAAAGA